TTCGGAAAAAGTTCATACTTTCCGGTTTTTCCGAAGAAACATTTTTCAGAATTTTTTTTCGGGGAATAATATACCCCGGAAAAAACTTCGGAATTTCCATTTTCCTGCAAAATTAATCAGAAAAAGTTCCGGAAAAAACTTTTTTTCCATATTTTCAGCCTGTTCTCTTCGGACTTTTTTCTTCAAAAGAAAAAACTCACCTCCCCTCAAATCAGCACTGGCTCCCACATAATTGAAGTTATCCACATTGATCACATCAATAATCGGTGCCACCACTGCCTTCGGGTTCTCCGCAATCCGTGCCAACAACGGCTCTAACCACTTCTGATTGCACTCGATGTGACTATCCAGGAACGTTAGTATAGGTGCTCCAGCCACTTGGGCTCCCTTCACTCTGCTCCTGATCAGGCCCTCCCGTTGATTGTTCCTCAACACTTTGACCCGTTCGATTTGAGCCAGCTCTTTTCCAATGTCCACATCAATCGAATTATCATCCACTAGGACTATCTCATGGAGCAGGTCTTCTGGAGACATATTGAAGACACTGAACACTGTCCGAAGCAGGGAGGACCTTGCTTCGTTGTGATAGGTGATGATTACTGTAGTGGGTCTCATCTGGAATTGGGAGTAGTCGACATCCCGGCATGGAGGTTCTCGGGAGTCTGGGATCTTCCGGATCGGGCTGATAGAGTCGGAGGCCTCCTGGTTGAACGAGTTGGCCTTGTACTTGTCCTCTCCTTGATGCCATTTTCCTTTGTTCAAAAACTTCTCAACATCGAAATTTTTCCAGGTGATACCACTCTCCGTTCTCTTATGGATAGTGGTATCCTCAGCCAAATCGATAGTGGGAATCGGTGGCGCACTCTTTTTTGGCCGGTCCATATCATCATTCAGGTCCTTTGGATGGTGCGGGACCAGCGGTCGGATTTCTGGAGGTGGTGGTCCTGCGGGTACGGAACTTGTGGATTGTACATAGATGAATGCCAGGGCGAAGAGCCAAACCACGGCGAGGACGGTGCCCACCGTCCGCATTTTTAGCATTCGGGGCAGCATTTTGGGGAGGGCTGGAAGTTGGAAATTAGGGGGAGATGTTTTGGCGGGAATTTAGACTTTGACCAATTTGGTGGGAATTCAAATATTGACCAATTTGGCTGGAAAACAAATTTTTGACCAATTTGGTGGGAATTCAAATTTTGAGTAATATTGCGGGAATTCGAATTTTCATCAATTTGGCGGTAATTCAAATATCGACAAATTTAGCGGAAACCCAAAGCTTGAACAATTTAGCGGGAATTCAAATTTTAACCGATTTAGCGGGAATTAAAAATTTGACCGATTTGATGGAAATAAGAATTTTAACCGATTTGGCCGATTAGCCGGGAATTCACATTTTGACCGATTTGGTGGGAATTCGAAATTTGACTTATTTGGCGGGGAATTCAAATTTTGATTATTTTGGCGGAAATTCAAATTTTGATTATTTTGGCGGAAATTCAAGTTTTGATTATTTTGGTGAAAATTCAAAATTTGACCAATCTGGCCGATTTGGAGGGAATTCGAACTTTGGCAACTTTGGCGGGAATGCAAATTTTGACTGATTTGTCGGGAGTTTGAATTATCATCAATTTGGCCGAAATTCAAATTCTGACCAATTTGGCGGTAATTCAAATTTTGAGAAATTTGGTGGGAATTTAAATTTTTGCCGATTTACCGGAAGTTCAAATTTTGGCCTTGATTTAACGCGAACTTATAGTTTTTTCGGCGGAAATTCAAAAAAAAATTGGTGGCAATTCAAAATTCAAGTTTCTAAATCAATTTTGCTGGAATTCAATTTCTGCAATTTTCCAAAAAATTGTATAAAAATGTATCTAATTTCGTTTTTCTCCCATCCAAACAAAACAAAAAAAATTGGTTGGAATAGAATAGAGAATGTGTCAATTGCATTCCCATCTTGGGGAAAAAAGAAGGGAAATTTGATATTTTTTCTTCTTTCTGCTGCCTGCAGTGTCCCTTTTTCCCCTTCTTTTTGTTCTGAACAATAGGGAAAGAATCGAAATGCGCAAGGACGAAAAAATGAAATTGGGTGGAAAATCAGAAAAAACCTTGTGTAACGGATTTTTTTTTGAATTCTGTACTAGAAAACCCTGACTAATAAAGCGAAAGATCACGAAGAAAAAATACGTAATCCAATTTTCGAAAATGTTTTTTTCTGACATACCCGATTGGAGTATATATACTGGAGACTACAATTTATAATAGCTTGGTGTTGTACATGCTCCGCGGATTGAGTGGAAGGAGAGGTCTTCTGGAATAATAAAATATGTTTTATGGGAAAATTTTTGTTTTTTTTTATTTGGAAAATCGGGTAGGTTAATTTGAAAAATTGGTCTTTCGGTTCAAAACTCAGCCTCAAAAAAAAATTAATGAGGTCACATTTTGAAAACATGACCAAAAATGAGTGGGAGTACTCCCTATATTTTTTGATAAGACCAAAAAAAATGATAAGGAAACTTTTTAAGAACATCATCACATTTTTTAGAAGCGGAAATTCGTAAGTATCGAAAACCACGGGAAAAACCAAGAAAAGGACAGGTATAGATAGGTAAGAAGTGGTTAGAAGGAACCAAGGATAGAAGCATAAAAACTTGACAGAAAAACTTTAAAAAAATGGAGAGAAACAAACTTTGAAGAAGTTTTTATTCAAGTATTCTTTAAAAACGGTAACAATCAACGACCAAGAAAAAAATCAAAAAAAGGATGAAAAAAGAGGGAAAAAACCGAAAAAAAAAACAGCTAATCTAATCTAACCTATCTAATCGGGCATGGGAAGGAAAACTAAAAATGAAGTAAAAACAAAATTTATTTTTCTGAAAATAGGTTTTTTTTCGAAAATCGGGCCAATTACAACTAGAATTTTAATGGAATTATGGTAAAATTTTGGATTTATTTCAGGCAAAAAATCTGGAAATTTGGCTTATTTTGGCAATTTTTGAGGGTCTTTTAACAGAATATCTGGAAATCCGGTTGATTTTGGCTCAAATTTGGTCAAGATCAGTGCTACAATTTTTTGATAAAAAGTCTGAAAATTCAGCTGGTTTCAGCTCGAATTCGGTCAACATTTGAGCAGTTTCTTGAGTTTTTTTTTTTGACAAAAAAAACGAAAAAAATCAGAGAAACTCATGAAATATAGGCGGAAACGTCTAGAAAACCAGAGAAAAATCCCCAAAAATGGTCCGAAAACCCAAAAAAATATCTAAAAATCACCGCTCCAACCCCATCAAAACCATGAGAAGAGTATTTCGAAAAAAACTCAAAAAACCGTCCAAAAAACACCTCCAATAGCTCAAAAGTCCATCAAAACCATAAAAAATCGTCGAAAACCCAGAAAAAAAAAATTCAAAACCTGATTTCAAAAATCAGGGAAATCTATCAGAAGTGTTCAAATTTCAAACCAAAAACCTCCAAAAAGTGTCCAAAACCCTTTCCACCAACAACTCTCTAGAGTCCCGAACCCTCTCCTCCAAAAATTGTTTATAAACACACACACATGAATATAATATAATTCCCCCCTTCCTCTTCAGTGTCCCCTTCTCTTCCAAATACTTTTGGAAGAGAGGGGCCCAAGGCCTTCGGGAAGAAGAAGAAACTAAACAACATTTATAACTTGTGCTCCCCTCTCTTCTTCACTCTCTGCGTCTCCACTTTCTCTCGTTTTAGGAGAGGACGAAGGGAAGGGAGTAATCGAGAAGAAGAAGGGAAGGAATGGACGAAAGGGAGTGCCATCAATTTTTAGGAGGAGGAGGAGAGGAAGGAAGATGATGGGGACATTTGGAACAGGTGACGGCGGAGAAGAAAGAGAGAGGACAGAAGGATAATAGGAAGAGCAGGAAAAGGAAATTGGGAAATTAAAAAAAAAGAGGGAATCCTCTGTGTTGTTCTTTAAGAGTTCAAAATTCAAGAATAGGAAATTTTATCAGTGGGTCTAGAAATCTCAAAATGAAGTCGAGTTTAGAACCCAGGAAATAATTTTTTGGTCCCTAGAAACCCAAAATATGGTATAAAACATCAGAGTTTTAGTTCCTACTTTTGGGATCACTCTCGTTGGAATTAGTCTCATTTTCGATTTTTTGGGTCCCTTCGTTTCAAAAAATCAGATATTTGGTGGAGATTCAAAATTCAGATTTTTTACGGAGATCAAAAATTCAGAATTTTCGTGGGAATTCGAAAATCAGATTTTTGGCGGGAATTTAAAATTTCTCAGAATTTAGGAGTGAATTCAATAATCAGATTTTTTACGGGGATTCAAAATTCCGAATTTCTGGTGGGAATTCAAAAATAAAATTCTGGCGAGAATTCAAAAATTGGAGGCTACCTAGGTTTTTAGACCTTACATGGGCCTTAATTTCGGAAGACCCGAGATCCAAGAATTATTTTTTTGTAGATCGAAAAATTCCCTATCGATTGACCCTTAATTCATTGGGGTTGTTTCAGAAAAAGTGGCTGAAAATTTGCGAAAATTCATTTTTCATGTTTTTTGCCAACTTTTTCTGAAACGACCCCATATATTTTTATATCAATCGATAGGGAATTTTTTGCCCTACCAAATCATAGTTTTCGTTATTCAAATTTTACAAAACTGAAAGACCTAGGTGGTAAAAAAATTAAGGACTCTGGTTTTGCTATTTCTGATAAACCTAAAAGTTCAATATAACCGCAAAAGTACAAAAATTACTTTTTAGTTACGAAACTCAAACAGCTGTTCGCCAGATGTGGAAAAAGAGACAGCTTTTAGAAAAACTGTGAAAAATAGATGCGAGTCATACATTTTCGTTGAAAAAAGGAAGTGACCGGAAAGCACCACTTGACGAAAAAAACGGGGGTGAATCGGAAATCTCTTCTCCCTGTCTCGTTTAAAAATTGAGTTTTGAACCCCCGAAAGTAGTCAGAAGTCATGTAAAAAATAAACCTAGAAATTCCAAAAGAAAAACAAAAAGATTTCAAGCCCAGGTGGAATCGAACCCGGGGCCCTCAGAACAAAAGGCAAACGCGCTGCCGGCTGCGCCACCCACACGCAATTAGCGCAAGGAGGGGAGGCCGTAGATAAAAGGATGACTTACAGAGAAAGAGAGACGGTAGAACGAGACAGAGAGATGATAATGATGGGAAAAAAATATCATTTCTATCACTGCCACGTGGAATTTTTTCTAATTTTACGCCGAAAATTTTTCACTTTTCATTGGTGGGGGATTTACAGATGAAAATTGATTTTTCAAAAGCAACAAATAACAAAAAAATTCTCAACAGATATCGATTTTTCTAGATTTTTGGGCCTACTTTTCTACTAATCCTAATTAAAAAAACATGCATAACAAATACGAAAAAAAAACAGATGTTTTTAAAGGAAATAGTGCAAAAATCAAAGAGAAATAGAGAAAAAGAAAGTGGAGAGAGAAAGAGAATGAAAGTGCTGGTGCTGATTGGGGTGCTCGGTGTACATATTCAATTGTTCTTATCACTCTTTTCATACTATCGGAGTGTCACACCGAATGTGTTGGCCAGTGACTCCTCGATTTGTTTGTGGATTATGTTGACCTGAAAATGAGAGAAACGGTATTTTTTTGAAGGAAAATTGGCTGGTTGTGGGGTGAAATTGGGCTAGTTTTCGCGTAAAATTAGCCATTTTCAGGCTGAAAAATTAGCTGGAAAAATTAGTCTGATTTTGGCCTAATATTGACGAATGTCGAGCCTGAACTAGACTAATTTTGGGCCTGAAATTGGCTAACTTTGGCTTAAAAATAGCTGTTTTTAGAGCTTGAAATCGGCGGCAATTGACCTCAATTTGGCTAATTCCGACCTAAATCAAGCTAGTTTTGACCTAGAATCAGCAAAAAAAAAAAGTTGAAAAATGCTGACTTTCTGGCCTAAAATTCCTCATTTTCAGGCTTAAATTGGGCCTAAGTTCGATGAATTTCTCCAAAAAATGAGCCATTTTTGGCCTAAAAATAGCCCCGGAGCTCCTCATAAAATGGCATGTTTTTGCTCCGTTTTCGTCATTTTTTCTCCTTGGAGCTCTCCGCGTTTTTCGTTTTTCTCAGATTAATAATGCATGAAACATGGGGGGAAGAAGAAGTTGGTCATTTTCGCATTGAAATGTGACAAAAAATGAGGGGAAAAGTCGACATTTGAGCAAAAAACTTCAAATCTTGTTTGAAGAGTTAGATGCGCCTTTAAGGTTCCCATCGCCTGAAAATAGACGAATCTCATCCTCCCCTAGTGTAACTGACAGATTATGATCGAGTGGTTGAAGTGGCGGGGAGCAATAAGAGCCAGGGAAAGGAGGAGCAACAATGAGTTTCATTAAAATAATTGCTCCTCCTGTCTATGACAAGGGGTTTTAACTAGATACAAGGGAGCGATTTTTCTAGTGAAAAATCTGAAAATGTAGGCAGAAAATCGCCAATTCACGCCAAAAATTGGTTTGAAACCGATGAGTTAAGCCAGAAAGGGCAGTTTTGTCTATCTATTTGTCCAGAGAACTGGTAATTCTGAAGCTACGATGCTCCGAAATTCCGGTTAGATTCCCGGGAGTCTGGATGTCCAACCCAACTACTCAGGTGTTCAGACGATGTACTGCTATCTGGATGTCTGGATTTCCAGATGACCGGATGTCTATCTGTTTTTGTGTCTGTCCATCCATACCTCCTCCTTGGTCAACGCCTTCTCATGACTCCGATAGACAATTCGATACGTTTGACTCTTCTTCGCCTTCTTCTTATTCTCAAACTCATCGGTGAGCTTGACTTGCTCCACGAGTTCTCCGCCAATCGTTCGGATCGTATCATACACGTCGGACGTCATATCGTTGAACTCGGTGGATGGGGGCAAGAAGAACGAGATGTCAAAGATTACCTGGAAGAGGGGAGTTAGGCCACCAATTTGGAAATCTAGGCCACCTAACCAACCTGTGGATGAGCGCTAATCTGCTTATACTTCACATCCTCTCCTGGCAATTTGCCGGCGAATTGCGACAGAAATCCGGTGTCTTTTGACCAGAACAATCTGCAAAACGGGGCTTCAGGCTGAAAGGGGTGGAGCCTAACCGAATATCTGGAATTCCGTACAAGACCATCGCAATACGCTCGAGACCAATTCCGAATGCCCATCCGATTTTGTCGGTGACGCCCGCCGATTCGAGTAGTTTTTGCTCCATAATTCCACAGCCGAGCACTTCAAGCCATTGGCCATTGTAGAACACCTGGAAAATGATGGTGGTGGCCTAGGAAGTGAAAAGGAGAGTTAGGCCATGGAAAGTTAGGCCACCGATTTGGGAATTTAGGCCATCAAGTTGGGAATCTAGGCGGTCTTCAATTTGAAGTTCTAGGCCATCAAAGATGGAAAGCTAGGCCACGAAGTTGGGAGCCTAGGCCATCAATTCTGGAATCTGGGCAGCCTTCAATTTGGAGTTCTAGGCCATCAATTTCGGAATCTAGGCCACCGATTTGGGGATCTAGGCCATTATTTTGGAAAGCTAGGCTAACAGGTTGGGAATCTAGGCCACCAATTTAGGAATCTAGGTCATCTATTTGGGAATCTATGCGGTCATCGATTTGGAAAGCTAGGCCACCGATTCGGGAATCTAGGCCGCCATTAAGTTGTAGTTCTAGGCCATAAAATTGGAAATCTAGGCCATCAATTTGAAAATCTAGGTCGCCATCAAGTTGGACTTCTAGGCCATCGATTTGGAGTTCTACGACACCAATTTCGGAATCTAGGCCATTAAGTTGGAATCCTAGGCCACCAGTTTGGGAATCTAGGCCGCCATCAAATTGGACTTTTAGGCCATTAAATCGAGAATCTAGGCCACCAATCTAGAAAACCTAGGCCGCCATTTCGGGTTCCTAGGCCACCAAATCGAATTCCTAGGCCACACTCACCTCCAACTCATACGACGGATGCGTAAATGGGAAGTACGCATCCACCCATCGCTTCTCGGCATCCTTCCCAAACAACTCATCACAGAGGCTCTCCAAAAACTGTTTCAACTGAATCTCGGTGGCCTTCGTGGCATCCAGCGAGTGGGTCTCCTGCTTCTCGGCGACTCTTTTGGGGTCTGGTGACCGAGAAAAAAGTTCGGCCACGTTGTCGCCATCGGATTTTTTGCCGAGCAGATCGTCTTTCGAGTAGAGTCGCACACCTTCGATCTGGAAGAGGAATTTTGGGTTTCTAGGCCACCGTTTTGGATTTCTAGGTCACCGTACCTGATGAAAACATGGATAGTGTGTCCTATCCACCTCATCGCGTCTATAAACATCCCCGATCACCAGAAACGCGTCGAGACCCTGCTGCATCAGATTGTGTTGATGGGCGGAGGTATGGGCACGAAGGCAGTGCCCCCGATTCACATAGTAGGTGTCCGATGGTCGTCTGGAAGAGGAGGAAAGTTAGGCCACGGAAACCTAGGCCACACTACACCTCGACACATGATCCTCCGGGGTCAGTAATGAGTCGAAATTTTGAAACGTGGAGACGACACGTGGCTCTGACTCGCAAATTGTGAAAAGTGGAGAACGATTTCCAGGTTTTCGATAGGTCTGATGTACATAATCCACGATTCGTCGTTTCAAGAGATTCAATGGATTTGAGGGCTCTTGAAGGATGCGACGATCCAGAAGGCGGCGGACACCTGGCGAGAGGTTGTACAGGGAGTCCTTGGTGTATTGGCGACCGTCGAGCTGGAAGAATAAGAGTTTTTTGGGGTCAAAGGGAACGGAAAACGACAGGGTTTTTTTTTGTGAAAAATGGCCGTGTTTGGGCTGAAAAATGACCGATTTTAGGCTAAAAATAACGGATTTGGGGGTAAAAAGCCGTTCGAAAGCCAAGAAAATTTCTGATTTTGTCCGGAAAACCGCGGATTTTGTGCTGGAATTCGCCAGTTTTTGGCAGAAAATGGAAGATTTTAGGCCTAAAAATACAGATTTTAGGGCTACAAATGACGGATTTTCAGCTGAAAAAAAAAGTCGATTTTAGGCTAAAAATAACGGGTTTTTAGCTGAAAAATAGCCGATTTTATGCTAAAAATGATGAATTGAGAATGACGGATTTTTGGTAAAACAAATCACGGATTTTCAGTGTCAAACAGTGAAAAATGACTAATTTTTAGTGAAAATTTCGGATTTTAGGCGAAAAATGCCTGATTTTCACAGCAAATCTTATATTTCCCTTCTACTTTTCTCTTGCTTCCTGACCTCAAAAACCTCCAATTTCTCCTCTCTTTTCTCCATTTTTTGTGCTTCCCATCGCCTGGAACTCGTACAAATCCATCGTTTCGATGTGCCATTCAGTAGAATTGAAATGCAGCGGCTACCCGTTCGAAATGGCGAAACTCGCATTTTTCTGAGCCTGAAATTGTCGAAATTTAGGGTTTTGGAGTCAAAATGTTGCCAGGAATCGAGTTTTGAGCTAATTTGAATGTCAAAATTGGCTATCTTGCTTGAAAATATTGTTTTTGGAGCTTAATAAAGAAAAAAGTATGGAAGGCGCCGAAAAAATTCTGCAGCGGCACTGAATTCGACGCGCACTTGCGGACATTTTTTGGAAGACGGCGGGTGGATAGAGAATTCAAAAAGTGGATTTTTCACCGATTTTCAGCCAAATTAAAGGAAAAAATGAGTAAAAATTGTAAAAAAAAATTATGAAAAATTCATAAAATATCAAAAAATTTTGAAAAACAAAACCGGGATTTTTTGAGGGGATTTTCGGAGGCTTTTCAGACTTCAAACAGCAAAAAAAAATTCAAATTTCCCTCCAAAATCGCATTTTTACTAGAGTAAAATTTCAAAAATTAAACAAAAAAAGAGAGAGAACAAATGAAAAATTGGTACAAGTGAGTCTATGGAACATGAGGTGGTTTTTGTGGTGCGATTTTCTTTCAGAGGGGGCGGAGCTTGTGTGAAAATGAAAATGGCACAAAATTGAAGAGATAGAGAGCTCTGGGAGCAATAAGGGGGCGGGGCTTATTATTAGGAACAAGCAGAAAAATTGGGAGAAAATCTGGGGGGAATGGGCGGAGTT